TAATGTATAATATATCGACATAAATGAGATAAACGTTAAATATGAGATAACAATAGAAATTAGAAATATAAACTAGAATCGTAATGAGGCCATTTGATGAGTTTTTTGTAGACGTTCTGCCCAGGGCTCAGAGTATTGTAAGTTTGATTGTGCGGTATCACGACGTAATCTTCAGTTATTTTTCCTTCATTCCTCAATCTCTGTATCAGTCTTTTACCAGCCTCCTCCATTTTATCAGTCAGCTGATCATAGGGTGTGAGAAAGTTCCCCATGTAACATATCTTCAAAATCAAAAAGAAAAAAAAATGCTAGAAAGATTATTTCATGTAAATATTTTTTCATATTATTTTTGTGATATATCAAGGTTAGCCGGTTTAAAAAGAAATAAGGGTAAATAGGTACATATTTATTAGAACTCAGTAGAATATGTATTACCTACGTTGAATGACGAATTAACTAATCTAAATTCTAAAGCTAATTGGGCAAAATTATAAAGACTAGCCTGGGATTTATGGGTTTCAATAGAAACGGTAGGGTTGGTCAGATGCAGATGAACTGAGATGGAAAATAAGAACAGTCCTGGAAAAACCGGGCATGGACATTCAACTGCAAGAAGAACAAGCTGAGATTAGAGAACTAAGGAAAGACAACACAATTAAGATTTTACCAGCGGACAAAGGTAAGGCCACAGTTATATTGGATGCCCATGAGTACGATAGTAAAATCGTGGAGACTCTAGCTAAAGGGCAAATGCAAACCATCTAGTGATCCTACTAAGACAATTGAAGGAAAATTCTACCGAGGTTTATACAAATATAAGAATTTCCCACCAGATAATTTAAGAACATCGCTTACACCACATTACAGTAAACCACCACTGTCTGTAGAGTTAAATAGGTCAGACAATATTTTCGATAGTTTCCAAGTTATAAATAAATAAAAATATATATTTTTTCAGTCTTTCTTAAAAAATTATTAAAAAATACAAGAATTATCCTGAAATCAAAACTATATTGGTATTTACTTTTAGATGGTCTACTTGCTGTTATAATATGGTAATGGTAAATCTGGGATCAAAATTCTGTATAGGCATACAAAATATGAAATAAATTTTCTTCGTTTTTTTAATGGAACGCTCTGTATATTGTTTTTTTTTTTTTTTTTTTTTAAACTTATTCATATTTTCGTAATTTAGCTAAGTGTTCAAAATTTAACTAAACTTGAATTTTTCTTGAAGTTACTTTGAAAGATTTAAAATTTTATTTTATAAAGGTTGTATAAACAGCTATATGATCATTTTTATAGGATACATATAAGTTTAAAACATAACATTCTTTAAATATAATATGATAGGTTTACAACCAATAAAGGCCCATTTTTATACAACCGCTTAGTAGTATAGAAGTTCTATAAAAGAGATTATACAACTCTTATGCCACTATTTTACACAGCGTTATATAACTATTATAAAACTAGTTTTATTGTGTATTACGTAGTCACATCTAAGAAACAGTACAATAAAAACATTTGATCATTTGGCAATTAAAGTATTTTATTTTTTACCGAAGAATATTAGGAGCAAATTATATTTTAAGCGTGTAAAATGAATCTAGAGGATGTGGATTGTTATAAAGGAGACTTTACTCGAAGGTGAAAATGGCGGCTAGAGCCAAAAGGTACAACAATTATGTAATATAAAAAATCATTGATATGGTTTGAAAAGTAGGGACCATTTTGTTTAAAATTTACTGAAACATGAATTATAAATTGTCTGTTTGGTAAGACTAAAAGCACTTTAATTTCAAGTTCAAAGGTTTATATATCTAATTTAAATGACAAAATAGAATAAAATTTTAAAATTCTTGTTTTTTAATTTAATTAAACAGTTTATTACTGTATGTGGGAATCTTATTCCAAAATAGTTCTCAAAATAACATATTCATTTGATGTTTTTAATTATATGTGTGACCATAGGCCACACAAAAATTCTGCCTTAACCATGGTCCTCAAATGCAATTTTGTTCATAAAATGAATCCTTAAATAAGTCTTTATTGTAAAATAAAAACTGGTATAGGATAAATATCTCTATCATTATGAGAATTTTCAGGCACTATAGAACTATTTTTGACATATTGAGATTTGTGACAAATAGATGTTGCCAAATCTCATTTGATTAGTATTTACTAACAAACATGATCAGTTTTTCATGGATTCATGCACGTAATGCATTTCATGCATGCCTTACGAGTGAGCGGCAACCTTAGGACTTGGAAAAACAACAGCTAAAGCCATACAAACAATTAATGCAGTGAACTTTACATCAATATTCTTTGAAGAAGCCAGACAACACGAGAAGATTTTGGATTTTTTGGCCCAGGATTATAGGTTATAATTTTCAGAGGTTTTCTTTTATCTTTATGGCTTACCATACATTCTTTTTCTTTTTAAGAATTCATAGTAGCTGTGATTGATTATACTCTGATGTTACTTTTGCAGCAACAACAATAACAAAATAAATAACTAGGTATACCATTCATTTAAAATAAGTTATTTTTTTTTTTTTTTTTTTTTTTTTTTTTTTTTTTTTTTTTTTTTTTTTTTAATTACAATTTTGTCATATAAGGGTATATAACTAGTGTTGTATTCAGCACCGTAGTTTAACGCAATAAAATATCTATCATACAACGTAATACAACTTTAATAAGATAAGTTTAAGTAACTATTATAATCTTGTGCTGGATTCTCATGATATTATGGGAGACTCTTGCTAGGTGCGTTATAAGGTCTATTAGGCAATATTGTTTCATATAGCATTGTCTTAATAAGTGTTCATATCTTACTGAAAATTATCGTTTAATGCGTTATAGGATTCGTTGTAAAAACCACTAGAAAATAGTTTAATATGACAGCTTTTATTAAAAAACAGAATGATCGAGGAAACCAAACGCCCAATAGTCAGTCATAAGACAACTGTTTAAGGCGTATAAAATAATTCAATCTTTTTAGAATTTCATTTCTCACTTGGGATTATGGCATTTTCCACAATGGGTGCAAAAACTACCAATAATTTTCTCTCGTATTTTCCCGTTGAAGGAGCCATATGAGAGTAATACTGGTGTCTCCTTTTGAAACAAATTGAAATTTTGAAATACACTTTAAATACAAAAATGTTCATTTTAATTCTCAAAATCCACTAAAAAATAATATACAGTGTTTGTTTAAAAAAAAAAAACAAAAGATAATTTTACTATATTTTATTTTTAGCATAATTTTTGGACATCTGTGGTTTACCATTGCCTGCCATGGTAGTGAATAAATCTAGTAAATACCTAATGGTTTTGATAAATTAAAAATAAAAAAACATTTTAATAACTTTTTTTTTTTTTTTTTCTATATTTTTCTTTATTTATTTGCTTTTTTTTTTTTTTTTTTTTTTTTTAATCATATCTTATTATTTATTTGTACATATGGATAATGTAAAATGACCTGTGTGTGTGTGAAAGGCTAAAGACTAAATAATATATAGTGTGGAGCAGGATTTGTCATTCCTGCCGTACATACATACTAGGATATGTGATACTAGTATTAGCTTGTAAGACAAGCAGGTAGTACTACGTATACTACCTAGTTTAGTATATACTGTATTGGCAAGGATACTGGTTGGATATTTGAATAAAAAATAAATGTAGAACTATAATAGCAAACAATATTTAATTCAATAAAAAGAATAAACACAATTTCCTAATATACTAAATCCTTACACTCTCTCATTCATACTCTTTGTGCTAGACAAAAATTTATACTATCTGGTACAAGATCTTTGAAAATATAAAATCGAAAATATAATATAACTAAAACTTGATAAAAAAAATTTGCATGTAAATGTTCCAAAGTCACTCTCGTTAAATTGTCATTAAACCCTGTCATAAATGTTCAAAATTCGTTACCTCACTTCTGCATTTGTATTGGCGGTGAAAAGGTACAGCTGACCACAGTATAATACCAAGGGGTTATATTATACTGCGCTATAAACTTCTTTTGGTCGATTTCACACACTTTTGGTCGGTTTACACACTTTGTCGCACTGTTTGGAAGCTTATTGTCTAGGAAAAAACTATATCTAGCTTAATGCTACTGACAAATGCTGATTTCGGAAAAAGTAGTTACCTAGCACTAAACTTCCGCGTTTACTGAATAATTTAACTTTCTTGGTTTGGAAAAATTAGAATTTCTTGCAGCAGAAACGTAAACTTGCGTATGACACGTAAAATAACTGGCGTATTTTTCCTTGTTTCTTGGTGCAGAAACTTTGTAATTTTTGTTCACTGGCGCGTGAAAGAGAATAACTTGGACTTTGTATTTTTAGTACTTTCTTGGTGCAGAAACGTTTGTGTCCACTGGCGCGTGAAAACTTTTAAAATCGTAACAGGTTACGATCGCCGGTGTTGGCGGTACTACCCCTTGTCGGTGAGAGACTGTGTTAGACTTTGTATATTTACTAGTTTCTTGGTGCAGAAACTTATCTTTTTAATTCACTGGCGCGTGAAACCTGAACCGTAATAGGGTACCATCGCGGGTCTGAGCGGAACTACCCCTTGTCGGTGAGAGACTGTGTTAGACTCTTTCTTTTTACACCCGCAAAATGGTCAGTTGTCCCGGATGGTACGTGATGTACGTGACCATTTTGCAGCCACATTTTCTTCTGGGAATCATACTTTCATCGTGACTTTCTCTTCGTATTTTAGGGTGTTATTTAGATTTTGTTGGCGGAATTTCCGGAGGAGTATATTTTTATAGGTTGCTTTGTTCGCAACAATATAGGGTGTTCCATTAAAAAAAAATCATCCCGATCCACTCACGCTTTTTTTTGAGCCACCCTGTGAAAGTTAAAATATTTTCCTGTAATACATCCTCGTACATACTTTAGGTCTGCACTTAAACAAAATTCCCAATTTTTTTTATTTTAGGAGCTACAGATGCCCGACGCACTATTGCCGGACCCTGTATAAATACTTACATCCACTCGTTTTGTACATCAGGTCCTCTTCCAACGTACACATTTCCATCTCCACCGATCAAGTAGTTCCATGCCAGGTCGACCATATCTTGTGTTCCCACTTGCCAAATCTGAAGGCCTAAAACCATACCGGCACAGGTTTGGTAGTCCTTACAGTTAGCCCCAGCTGTGTGCAATATTCGCACTATTTTTAAGGGTCCGTCTACACTGGTAGTGTTTAGGGGTGGCCTGGCTGACCATTCCTACGAGAAATTCAATAGAAAAATGTAAACTATAATAATTTTACAGATGGAGGTTGGAAAATTTGTTATTACAACAGCAAAATAAAACAATAATTCACCACAATACACGAAAACACTGGACGCGCGTTTCGCTAACTATGTTAGCATCATAATTTCAGTTTTAATCATCTGCTGATGATGCTAACTTGGTTAGAATATAATGTAATATTCTTATTCTATTGTGACTACCAAAACACGTTTACTTTTGCACTGGACACGCGTTTCGCTAACCATGTTATTGTCATCAGCAAATGATTAACACTGACCCTAGTTTGAATCACCTGCTGATGATCGTTAGCAAAACATGCGTCCAATGAAAAAGTAAAAGTGATTTATTAGTGTATTGTGGTAAATTAGTGATTTATTTTGCTATAACAATTTTATTAATACAAATTGGAAGGTTACAAAAGGTTTATTTCGCATAACAATTAATATAAATAATAAATATCCAATGGTTTTTATAATTAATTAAAAAAAAAATAAAACAAAGTCAGGTAAGTTGCACCATTTAAACGATAGACGTGATAGACAACCAAGAAGCGGACAGACTCGTCAAAGAGAGTTTAGGGAAGAGACCGTGGCAGATGACCCACCACTTGTGGCCATCAATATACTCAAGGAAGCTATAGAAACTACCATCAAGGCCAAGCAGCAAGAGAAGTGACAATACCGTGAGGACTGCGCTACTGCTCGAAGACTGTGGCCAGTGGTAGATAGCAAAATGACAAGACAACTACTAGAGCACAAGAAAAACATAGTACGCATAATTGTAGGCGTCATGCCCCACGGGGGTAAACCTCGTGAGATGGAAGATCTCCAAAAGAAGATCTCCTGCGGAGAGAAAGAAGAAATCTTAAAGCATTTGCTGTTCCACTCTCCGGCACTGGAATACCGACGCTTTAAAACTTTAAGGCAATGCTTTTTGGAGGGACTATAGGAAACAGCAGAAGCCAACATTAGCGACATCGGGAACTTTGGAGCTGGTTATTAAAGAATTTTAACGCAAAAAAAGAATAACCATTAATAAAGGACCTTAATTGTACAACGGTCCCATATACAATTATAGAAGAGAGAAAAATGTAATATAATTTTATTGTACCAAAGAGCAAGGTTCAGTTGAGCAGATTAGATATCTGCCCTGTGTTCAACTAGTCCAAAATCCCAAAATGAGAGGAAGGTTTGGTACAATAATAACAGGGGTATCGCAATGGACCCAAGGCCTCAGAGTGGGGGATCATGAAGAATCCCAAACCCCAGTAACCTAACCTAACCTTGTCATTCCTGAGCCGCCTTTGTCTTGTATTTTACTTACGTTTCTATGTATGATTTGAATTCCATCACCCAGATCGTCATCGTGTCCTACAGTTGCTACCATGGGACTTGAGGGGACAGCAGAAAAATCCACAGCATAGTAAATAAGTATGGAGGTGCATACCAAGGAAACAATCACCAGGATTCCTAACCAAATTTGAAAGGACCTCTCATTGAGCAGCTCTCGCAAACGTTTCGGCTTCTGCACAGTGACATCTGCGTCGATGGTTTGAGCTGCAAGAATATGTATTAAAGCGTGAATTCAAGAAATAAGAGGATGAGCAATCTTATGGGCAATTTCGTGGCACAAAACCCGTCCGAGATGTAGCTGGCGCGGCGTTACCGTTACATGTCCGAGATTTAGTTTAGCTCTGCGCTGCTGCGCGCTGATAGTCCTTTACAGCGCAGCGGATAAAGAATGATGTACTGTAGCTCTGCTTTCAGTGGACAGAGTGGGTGGTTGCCGGAGACAGTGTTGTCAGAACTACGGATTAATCCGTAGATTTACGGATTTTGGATACAGTACGTTAATAATACGGATTTTCTATCATTAAACAATGTATTATAGTATTATATGATTAAACCAAAAACGGAGCCAGAGTTGGCTTGGAAATGAAGATCGCTGTTATTTCATATGTAAAATATTATGGTAAATATCAATAGTCGTCATTTCCAAGCCAAATAAATGACTTTTTTCGATCGAAATATTCAGACTGACGATTTCGAATACGAAATATTCACTGCCTATAAAAGAACTTTTATTTTTGTTGTTTATTCTGTGTTTAACACGAATAAATTTTCAATACATAAACGCGGATTTTTCATACAAAGACATTTTCGTCAAACGTATTACAGATATTACACATTTTAATATAGCAACACTGTCGCTTTCAGTTCCAAACCGTCTTCGATATGCCTTCGCTAGCCGAATTAGAGGAAATGAGTGTTTTATGCGTTGGTCGCAGAACGAGTAAAGGCTCCATCGTACAGCACTTGAGACGTAAGGGGAAATAAAATCAGTCTTTTTACGAAATCGCACATTAGGTTGCGTATCTTCCCAATTCTTTTAATCAACGATTAAAGTATCTAAAAAGATTTAGTTCATTCGTCTATCTATTCATCATAATATATTTGTATGATACAAGTTAGTCAAATTTATATGTCACCAAATGATTTTGTTTTGATACTATGTTAAATTACAGCATACGATTGAAAAAAATTGGCGTCAAAGATGGCTGGGGAATGACAGTCATTACTTGTCCTGTACTTTTCTTTATTTTCTAATGTCGCTTACTGCCAGTTGGCTTTAAGAAGGGCAATTTATTTTTATATTGAGTAAAAATAATTTTTAAATGGTGTAGTTTAAAATTCGAATTTTTTTTTTGGAAAAAGATTTGTTAGTTTGAAAACGGTTCTATACTTTTTTTAATCTTGCAGATTAGTTATTTTTATTAGTTTTAATTTTTGAAAATAGCATAATCAGCAGAATCCCCACGGGAGATGGCAAATATTTTTGAAACATCCTGTATAAACTGAAAAGTGAAAAGAATGCAACTAGTGATCCAGTGATGTATATAGCATTCGCGAACAGTATGCTTAGGAACATCATAAAAATATACATCAGGGGATGCTTTTTAAATTAAAAGCTAGCTGGTAGTTCATTAACTTAAATTACGATTACTTACTTATTGCTGACCGTGTAGATTGTAGTATTTGCTGGCTACCTTTTTAAGGGCACCATTTACATGGCGAGGAGATATTTAGATATTTTGTTGGTCAGGCAAATTTGTCTTTATATAGATTTAGTTTTGTGTATACATTAAAACCTACAGCATTTTCGTATTATTCAAGCCCTATTTATTAAATAGATTAAGAAATATTTCAAATATTTTAATAATTTTACAGAATTTTCAGAATATAGGGTAAATTCATTATTTTATTGGTTTTGTTTTACGTTCTCAATAAATGCTAAAAAATAGTTATTAAAATTCTTAGAAAGTATATTTCTAACAAAAATAGATAAGTTATAATAATCATTATTTAATAACAAAAATATCAGATACACTACTGTAACACCTAATTCAAATTAACGTATCCTCATTATTATTGACAAGTTGTAAATGAAAACGAAAATGTAAGAAAAAACATATAATTAGTTAATTCTAAGTGAATTCCATAATAATAACATGCTGATTTCTTAACAAAGTGTCACAATATGGCATGGCCAGATATATTGTTTCACATCGCTTGACGTTTAAAGTCATAGGCTACTGGTTAAAATCAGGAAAAATATATTCTTTAAATCTTAATATTAAATAACTTAATAACGATTTATTTTAGGTATAGGAACATGTATAATCAAAAAGTAACGAATTGAAAAACCTTTTCATTAGTAGAATAAAAAAATGGGGATTCTATTTGAAAAAAGTGATTTATAATAATTTCTTCTTTGACATTCGAACAATTTAATTGTTGAAATAGATAACCACATATCTTTTCTTTATGCCTTTATGCCGCAGTGGCTGTGGTAATCACTAAATTTGTCGTTTAGGCTATACAATTTTTTTAAACAGGCATTTTTTTTTATCCAAAAATTTTATATATTTTTTTCTCAAAAACCGTTAATGTTGTCAGATATACAGGGTTGTTCACCACATACGACACGGAGTATTGTAGCTAAACGATTAGATTTTTACAAGTTGTAAGTTTTAGGTTCGTTGAAGGACTATTAGAGCTACAATTTAAAAATATTTTTACAAGATACAGAGTATGTAGTAGTATACTCAAATAAATAAAAAATATCAAAGTTGTATTTTTTTAAATGGAACACCCTGTATATTATTATATTTTTAATTTCTATGATTAAAATAAAGGTAAATTTGATTAAGGTTTATCACCCTTAAACCTTACCGTTTTTGAAATATTTTCCATTTTGTAAAATTGCAGTAAAAATTTTAAGGCTTCATTTCTCCAAGTGTATCAAAGTTTTTACTACTAAATATTTATTGAAGTTTAATTATTGATCAGTAATTGGTGTCGCAATAATAAAAATAATACTACCTCTTACAGAGTGTCTGAAAATTTATTTTAAATAATTTTCAGCTTTAAACGGCAATAACTTATTTAATTTAAATGGAACACCCTGTAGATTTTAGGAGAATCCGATGCACAATTTAATTGTCCATCAAATTGTATTACCATTTTTACCTATCCCTTCAAGTTTTCGTAGAAAATGCATTTTCTTACAATTTAGACCTCATTTATGAATATAGCCATGGGATATTGACATTTTAGATTGTTTTTAAAGCAACAAATGTACAGGTGCTAAAATCCATTATTTCCGCCAATATATTAATTAATTACATATTTAATTGTGTTAGGTAATAATGTAATGTGGATTTGAAATCAGAAATCAATATAATAATAAGTTATGAAAATGAACGTCTCTGTTGTTATAAATAAGCATCCGTCAAAAAATGAAATAACATTTTTAAGGTGTAACTTTTTACCACACTGTCTAATACACATACAAAATTAAGTTTTTTAGTATTTGGAACAATTATTATTAATCAACGCAAACAGTCAATTAATGTAGTTTGAATACTGGAATCATATTAATTGGTCCTCTTTTACAAATATTTAAACAATTTTTTTAATGACATAAACGAACTATATCGACATTAGTAGAATGTAGAATGTTTAGGAGGGGAGTTAATCACCGCGACCTTATAGATCTATTGTGTGTTTCCCTTTCTTGAGTTATAACGAGTTATAACTCATCATACAGTCTCAGGGCTTTAAGAAAAGCCAGTATCTGAGACGGCTCCACAGAGGCCAGCTCTCCATCCTCGACATCAGACGTACCAAGGTTCATGGCACGAATGGTCGTCGTTTCGGCGCACTCAGTGATAAGGTGTTCTGGTGTTTCTCCATTTTCCCCACAAAATCTGCATTCGCCGTTGTTTCTCAGTTTCAACCTACTGAGGTGTTCGTTGAGGAGACAGTGTCCTATTAGAAACCCCGTGACAATCCGAAGATTGTTTTTACTTAAATCAAGGAAAACCTTTGATTTTTCTCGGTCATAAGTTCTAAGGAACTTTTTCGAGTGTCTTAGACCGTTGGAGGACACCCATTCCAAGTTACGGATGGAGTCTTCCAGATTCTTCAGTTCCGCTTTCAGTTGGTTCCCGTTTGGAAAACAGAACGGTTCTGGTCCAGTTAGTGGAGTGTTCGCTCCTTTTCTTTTGCTTTTTCATTGCCTTCTATCCCTTTATATCGACATTAGCATCTGTACCCTTTAAAAATTTGTTACATCTTTAAAAATAATCAAAAATGTCAATATTCCATGGGTATATTGATAATTGAGCTCTAAATTATAAGAAAATGCGTTTTCTACGAAAACCTGAAGACATAGTTAAAAAATGATATAATACAATTTGATAGACAATTAAATTGTGCATCTGATTCTCTTAAAATATACAGGGTGTTCCATTTAAATTAAAGAAGTTATTGCCCTTAATAGCTAGTTATTATTTAAAATAAAGTTTTAGACACTCTGTATAAGGTAGTACAATTTTTATTACTGCAACATACGATATTTTTTATTTATTTGGGCTACTCTACAATTTAAAAAATATTTTTAAATTGTAGCTCTAATAGTCCTTCAACGAACCCAAAACTTACAATTTGCAAAAATCTCAAAGAGTTTAGCTACAATACTCCGCGTCGTATGTGGTGAACAACCCTATAGAGTGTTTGGCATCAAAATTCATAAAATTTTACAGCGAATTTAAATATGTAATAAAAAATGGGGGTTCCTATTTAAAATAAGAAAGTTGTTGTTAACTTCGGGTATTTCAGGAAGTGCCGTCATATTGAATATGTGTATAGTATGAACTTAATTCTTTAAATTTTTCTATAAATTAATTTCAAAAAAATATAAACTTCCGTTATATATGAATTTAATTCACTATCATTAACTGGTACAAGTTTATTTATTCTTATTAATTTTCTACGTACTAATATAACAAGTTTTAACGCAATTTATAAGACAGAACCCTCATAAAAATTCGGCCACTTTGCTATTTCTTTAGCCACATTGACACCAGGACCGAACAACAAAGGAGATGTTTGCCTCTCACCAACCAATCGAAAATCGTACTAATTTTTCCCTCACTTAACCCATACTTGATTAAATCTTTGCCTGCTTCAGATGCCCGTTTACTTAACTCTATTTGGTTAAAATCACCGATAAAGCAAATGTTTAAACTCTTCGATCTTAGATGGTTCTCGTTTGTCCAACCCCGTCCAACGTATATACCTCCCTCCAGACCAATCAAGAAATTATAACCAATATCAAAATCTTTTTTAAAAAATTTGTGCTGTATTTTTTGCACAGTCTCTGCACATTCAGTAAAGTTGTGACATTCTTTAGTATAAGAATGACTGATTATAACCAAAGAAATATTATTGGACAAAGGATTCAATTGTCCTTTCTCTGCAAGTCCACCCCAGTTGGATTTAGAATATACAGGGTGAGAAAAAATGAATTCCGTTGTGTTAGGGTTTGTTGGTTGGACAGTAAAAGATTCCTTTAAAATGGTATGTCTCACTATTAAAACGACGACGACAGTGATAAGCAAGGACAGCATAAAAAAGGATATTAAGGTCAATATTGCGCATTTAGTGGATCTTTTTGGTGGCTCGTGGTCTGAAACAAAAGAAAAACCTAGTTTTATATTTTTGTTTCTGTATACAAGATGCTAAAAAATTATTGGTATCTCGAAAACCGTAATAGATAGAAGATGGTTGAATTGGGGCAAATTTGAGCTTTAGGATGTTCGCTAACATGCTCAAAAAGTTGCAAAAATTTCAAAGAGTTTTTTGAAAAAAACTTTTTTTTTGAAAATTAATTTTATTTTTTCCTACCGTAACTTTTTAAAAAATCGAAAAACTAATTGCACATTCTCATAGCCACTTTATCCTGAAAGTATTTTTAGATTTTCAAATTAGCTAATAGTTTCGGAGATACATAGTTTCGGAGATACATACGGACCTGTATTTTTTATATCAGGGTTTGAAAGAATTCAGTATCTTGAGTACAACGATATGCTTTATACTTTATATTTTTTTTTGTTTTGAGTACTTTAACAAGAATATAAGTAACTATTTAATATTAAAATAATTTCAAGTCAAGAAAAATATAATATCCAGGTCAGCAATTTGAAGACATTATTTTTAACTTTTTTTAATTATGAATTTGAAATCTCAATGTGCGATCTAATAATATGAATAATGTTAATCGCAATTATTATAAATAAATCAACTCTACAGACTAGTTTCTAATGTTCGAAAGGATTGCCACAAATTTATTTTTCTTTAATTTTATGTACTTATAGCCCTTTCAACAGATCTTCTTCTTATACTTACGAATGCATTTTATACTCTTTGTTGTATATATTGAGGTGTATTGATTTCGCTTTTACAAATAAAGTAAAGTAATATTCCTCGCCCCACAGATCCAGGAACCTCGCTGGCCATTATACTGCTCCACCATTTTTAATCCATCTCTTCTGGGTAAATTATTTGATTGTTTTATTTCTCACTTAATAGTGGTTAGGTTAGATGCATTTGCCCAGACATACAGGGTGCTATAATTTCGAGGTACGAGTATTGGTATCTCGGTAACCGTAATAGATACGAACATGGTTAAATTGGGGCAAAGTTGCCCGTTCTGGGATGTACACCAAGATGCTATCAAAAAAGTTTTAAAAATTTCAAGGATTGCTGAGTTTTTTGGAAAAAACGGATTTTTTGGAAAATAAATTTTATTTTTTCCTGTCGTTACTTTTAGAAAATCAAAAAATTAATTGCCCATTCTCATAGCCACTTTATTAGGGCTATCTGATAGTATTTCTAGATTTTGAAATTAGCTGAGAATTTGTGAGATACAGAGGCCAACTTAATTTTTTTTATATACGGACCGGCATTTTTTATTTCAGGTTTTGAAAGAACTCGGTCTCCTGAGTACAGGGTGAGTCAACGATAGAGTAAAGTCCATTATCTAATTTGTTTTGAAGTTTACAAAAAAATATTAAATATAAAAGTTATAGAGATGGTTAAGATACACATTTTAGAATTATTATATAGTATACAGGGTGCTTCAAAAAAGTGTGGTGACTAAAACATATGTTTTTTTAAATGCAACACCCTATTTTTTATTTTATTTTTAGATTCTGCGAAAAATTCCATAACTTTTTTATATATAATGTTATATACCTAAAATTAATAGTTTTTGTTATATTTAAATTTGTTTAAACAAATGTTAGA